GATGGGTGTTGATATATATTTAAATATTTCAACGTTTAACTCTACGAATAGTGGCTCCATTATTAAAGCTTATGTGATAAGTGAAAAAAAAAATCATTTTAATATTGTAAAGTCTATAAACCCTATTATAGTAATTTGATGCATAGTCACCGCTCTAACATATTTATAATGAATCATCCGTCTCGGGCATGAGGGTCTTGAGAAATATTGTACCATTTTCGATTGGAAACCAAAAGGTTGATTGGTGTTGATATATATTCAAATATTTCAATGTGTAGTTCGTCATATAAAAACTGCATTTTTTCAAAGTTAAGAATAACCTTATTATTTTTATAATGAAATTAAGGGCTTTCTGGAATTATAATGAAAGTGCTCTTAAAGATATGAAAATGGCCGGACTTCAGAGAGCGAACAAATTTTTTATTTTCCAAATAAGTCAGAAAAAAGGTCCCGTAGAATTATTTTTGGTAAAATTTGGTCATTTGATAAAATTTGAATGGTGACTTATATTCTGGTAGTTTATTAACCCCTTACAGTTACAATAATTTAAGAATCAATACGGTTGTGTTAATAATCCTTAAAAAATCTTATTTATGTGTCCATCCATTCAAAAAGCTTAAACGATATCATAGGAAAGGGAAAAAAACTATAATTTATTCCGTTACCTTTGACTTAGCCATTCAAAACAAATTATTTTCTTCTTTGCTCGTTTGCCAATTTAAGTTCTATTAATTTGCTAAATTTTAAAAACAATACTATTTTCATTTCTTTCTTTGTATATGAATTGAAAGCTGGAACGCGTCTTATTGATGTTGTATTTCAAGATACGATAAATCTAAATTAGAAAGATCTTCGCGAATCTTGATTTTTTTTATAAAAAAAAGATGATAACGCGGGTCATAATTAAATTATTTCGATTCTAAAAAAAAATAATAAAAAAAGACTTATTCAATGAATAAACTTGTTTCATAAGTTTGTACATTTTATGATATCAATAAAGATTAGTAAATATAAAATTTTTGTGAAGTATGTTTTACGTTAGCTTTACCTATTTAGTAGTTACCGTTTTTAGATAGAAATTTCTCAAGTAACACTTGTGCACTTTTTTTTGGCCAATAAAAATACAAATACCTTTTGTTATACAACAAATTTCCAACAAGTAAAATTAAGGTATAGTTAACTAATCTAGATAATATCAGTTAATAGCCATAATAACAATGATAGATAAATTCCAAAAAGAACATCAACAAATATGCAGGGTTCTTTGACGTAAGCGTTTCTTTTTTAAAATCATTAAGTATCTGATCATATCCTGCCTCTTAAGTTCAACTCAATAATAGGGGTTTCAGAATTATAATAATTTAAATAAATAAATAAACGCCCAAATGTTACCTATTTTGTAATTTCATTTTTTTTTTTTTCCTCGGATCTAACGTTTTTATACTTTTTTTTTAAGTTTCGGTTAAATGGCGAATCTATTAAGTCCGAATATATCATACTCGGATTTTTTGTTTTGAATCTAAAAATCCAATAATATGGGGCGCCTTTGTAATAGAAAGGGGGGAAACTGCCGGGAAAACTCAATTTTATGTTTATATGTCAAATATGATGTTTAGGCTGAAATATGTTCAAATTTAGCATTAACTCATTTTTTATTTTCCGGCAGTTTCCCCCTTTCTATTGCAAAGGCCCCATATAATCAAATTAGTTGATATTTTTATTTTATTTTATATGTTTGGTGTCTACTATACGTTAAATGATTATTTATGTGCATATAAAGATTGATGATTTATTATTGGCAAAAATTATTAAACTTGTGGTGTTAAGTAAAAATTCCTTTTTTTTTTTTTTAGATAAATCGGTACATTACGTTGTTAGCTGCAAGATTAATATTATTAAAAGATCATCAAAATTGATCAAATTAATATTTGATTTCGTCATATATCATTTTTATCGGATTTGTCATATTCATTATATTTATTATATTTATCTTATTTATTATATCGGACATATTTGTTTTATTATATTACTATTAGTTTATTTTATATAAATAGTATGTATTTTCCCTTGAGTTGAAAGATAACTTGAAATGGAGATTTGTAAATAAATTAAGAATTAACTAATTGTCTTCAAATAATAAATATCAATAAAGACGATCTGAACTTTCAATTAATTAAACTCATGTATATTTCTTTCATAGTTTAAACATAATTAAACTCCCTGTTAGCAAATATAAATTGTTAACTTAATAACATATAGATTAAGCTTAACAAATGGTAATTCCTGCCAGGCTATTCTTTGTTGATAATATATATAATATACTGCTGATGAACTAGCGTGATGTATAATTTTTGAAGAATAAAACTGATAATAGATTTAGAATATTTTATTGAAGAAAAAATTATTTCAAATATGTTGATAATACTGAAAGTACTAGTTGGAATTCTGCTATACTTTTAGTTGATATAAAACAAAATAAAGATATTTCAACACTTTTATTAAAAAAGATAATAATGGAATTTTGTATTTACATAGGTATACTTTTGTAATAAATGGTAAGAAAATATATTTTTTTTTACAAATAAAGGAAGAAAAAATTCCTATGATATATTTAGGAAGAAATTGGACTAAATACTATTTATTAAAGTAAAAGGAAAAAGATTTATCACTTGGCAAGAAAGAGATCAAAATTATTTGTCAAAAGTTTAACGTTAAAGAAAAAGAAAAAGTACTAAATCATGTGATATAATACCATCTAACAAAATATTAAAAAGGAAAGTATATTTTCTAAAATGGTAATTTTAAAGAAAAAACTCCATCACCAAAAGAAACAATGTTTCAAGAAGATCTAATTTGCTTTGAAAATAAAAAAGAAGAATTTATATTAATTGATTTGAATGAATATAATAAAGCAATATTCTTATTGCAACAAGAGATTTCTTCTGATATTTTTATACTAGATGCTAAACAATTTTAAATGTATTTCAATAATAATAATAATTTTGAAAATGAATTTAAAATGCAAACTTTTGTTAACTTTTGTAAAGAAATATATGACTTGTATGAAGAAATGCCAATGGAAAATGATAAACTTGAATCTGCTACTACAACGACTTGTAAAGAAGAAGTGAATGTTGATGATTTCCATCTAAGACAAATTTCTGAAAATATTCCTAAAATAGAGTATATCTGTGAAAAATTAGACCCATTAATTCCTAAAATATTTAATAATAAACAATTGATACAAGAAAATTTATTAATAATTTACTTACTGCAACAACCATCCCAAATTAATAAATTTAAATACTTTAGCATGAAAAATAGTTACCAACCAGATCTTAAAAGGTTTCTTCAAATAGAATATCAATGGAAAATACAGAAAAGAAAGTCATATTTTACAAATCTAATGCGATACTAAAATCAAAAACATATTTCAGTTTTAATAACATATCACTTATATTATTATAAATAAAAAACTGATTTAAATTTTAATTCTCCTTAATTTTATAATACTAAAAAGTTAAATTTTATCAAAATTAATTAGTAAATTAGTAAAAAATTGATCTAATAAATCATTTTATATTATATAAAAACTTGGTTAATCTAATTTTTTATAAACTAAAATAAATGTTCTATCTTTTTTTAATATATCTTGTGAAAATAGATTAAAAATATTTCAAAAATTTATTTAACTAAAAGCAAAAAATAGGTTAAAAATATAAGTAAAAATGCATAAACTAGTAATAATATAAAGTACATAGAATAGAAATATATAAAATATATAAGTAAAATGTATAAAAGTAAATAATATTCTCTATCAATAATAAATCTTTATAATTAAAATATTTTTATAATTTAACTATATTATATTATTAAATGTTTTTATGAAATAGATAAATTACATTATTTTTTGTTTAACTTTTTTGACTTTAATAAAAGTGAATTAAATATTTATATAAAAATTAAGAAATTTTCTATTCTTTTTTATCTTTATTATATTAAAATAAAATACTAATGTATAATAAATTAAATTATAAATAAAAGTAATAAAATTATGAGCATTTTAAAACTGATCACAAAAATATAATTAATAAAAAAAGAATCTAAAATTATAATTATAAAAAGATTTATAAATATTTTTTTTAAAATTCATTTTTTGTATTACATACATTTAAAAAATTTAAACTATTAAATATAACGAATCTAAAGATTGAATCTTATCTTCATTATAAACCTATAACAAATTTTTTAAAGAATTTAATTGACTGATTCACTATAATAAGATAATTTTAATATATTTGATTTAAAAATTCATATGGTAGCTTTGCAATAGAAAGGGAAGAAACTCTAAAAAAATTTTTTTTTGAGTTAATGTTAAATCTGAACTTATTTTACAAAAAAAATCATAATTAGCTTAGAAAGTAAAATTTTAATTTTTTTAGAATTTTCTCCCTTTCTATTGCAAAGCTCTCATATATTAAGGATTTGCTATATCAAGATTTGATTGTATATTATAATATAAATTTGTATTTTATTAGATAGATGATAATAAATAATATTTACAATTTTATTTATAAAAATTTTGAAAATTAATATATAGTATAATATTTATAATTTAAGTATTAAAAAAAAATAATAATTTATTTCTATTATTTAAAAAAAGCTCTATTTTTTTAGTAGTTTAATTTTAATTTAATCTTATAATTATTAATAAAATTAAAAATTTAATAATAATTTAATTTTAATATATTTTATACAAATATTTATCCATCTACTTAAAATTTGAGTTGATATATAATTAAAGTCAAACCTTGATATAGTGAACTCTTGATATAACGAATTTTTAAATCAAATATATTAAAATTACCTTTACTATAGTGAACTAGCCAATTAAATTCTTTAAAAAATTCGTTATAAGCTTATAACGAAGTTGATATCCAGATCCTAGAATTCGTTATATCAAGAGTTCACTGTAGTCTCTTTTATTATACTTGTATTTTAAATTTAACAATAGTTTTTAAAGATATAAAATTTATTAATATTATTTTTGAATATATTTTTATTTAATTTAAATCTGATTTTTTTTTAAATATAAAATACTTATAAAAGTTTAATTATTTCTTTTATAATTTAAAATTTAAAATAAAATTTTTAAAACTTAAATTTTTTAAATAATTTATTTCATCTTAAAAAAAAATAATTAAAATAAAATAGTTGGTTACAAAATAAATAAAAGATAATTTTTAAAGAAAATCCTAAAATGGGTACATAAAGTAGAAAATGAAGTAAATGCTACCTATCCTTCATCAAAGGCATATTTTCATATTTAATAATATTATACAATTGGAAATTTATATTTTTTTCAAAAAGAAAAAGCACTATTATTCCGATACTCTTTTTTTATTATTATTAACCATTATATACATAAAAAAAATTAAAACATATTATCAGACTTTAGCCAACTTTTATGACACATTATTATATGAATTGAATCACTTCTAAGTCTATTATGTTCTCATGTAATTACATTGTCACTTTGACTAAATAATCATTTAACTAATAGACGGTATTGATAAATATTCACGCGCTATCATAAATAATGTTAGATAGTTACTTTTGTGATTTTTTTACCATTTCAATATATTTATAGTTTTAGGTTTGATGAACTATTAAGATAATTAAATAGTTCATCATATCCATTATTATTTCAAAAGTATTTAAGAATAGGAAATAAAGAATCTTCATCATTGCTATTCTCATTATCATTAAAAATAGCAGATATCTAAGTTGGAAAGTAAATAGAACGATACTTATCAAATTTACCTACAAATTTAATTTTAATAATAAAAATTTTTTAAAATTTAAAATTTATCCAATTTCTATAGTAAAAATTAATTTACTTCCAAATTTTTATCTTTTTTATAAAATATATCATCACCTTTTTCTATCCAGCTTCAAAAATATTCAAGCTTTCATTATGGATCAATAATCATAGAAATGTAATTTACTGATTCAACAGTTTTATTGTAATATTCACTAATCTTATTTCATGCTACCTTTGCAGTTGCAATTAAAGATTTTCCATCCTTTATTATTTTTTCAGTATGGTCTATTAAATGATTATATATAAGATAAATAAACTTATAGTATGATAAGTCGAAACACACATTTCAGTTGAAATTCTTGTAAATCGCTTTAAAAAAGTTACAATTTCATTAAGAGATTTCCAATCTGATTGAGTTAAGCTAATATCTCTGATAAATGAAAATTCATCATTTAAAACAATCTTATCAAAAACCTAATTATATAAAATATTTAATTAATTATATATAAATCTTTAATAATTTAAATTTTAACTAAAGTACTAACCACTTACAAATTTAAAGCGCGTTTAATCATTTCATATGTAGAATTCTAATGAGTCAAAACATCTAAAATCAGAGACAGATTTTCAATGCCATTAAGATTTGAAATTTTTTTGAATTTTGTTGTCATTAGGAAGAAGAATAACATTTAATAATAATATTTCTGATTCGAACTATTTCATATTTAAGTTCTTTTAAAGCATATTAAACTACAAGGTTTAAAATATAAGCAAAACATTGAATGTGATTATTTTTAACTGAAAAAATAATATTATTTTCTAATGCTTATGAGCTAAACAGTGTAAATATTATGTCATTATTATGAGCAATATTATTTGTAATGCAATTAATCTATAAAATTAATTATATATATAATTTCTATTTGTGATACAAAATCAAAATAAATATATGTTAATAGTTTCACAAACCTTTGTAGAAATCTTATATGTATTTAATATATTGATTAACTTTTCAGCTATATATTCACTAGAACGAATGCCTTTTAATTCATTAAAGTCAAGTATAAGCTCTCAAAGGTTCCATAATTTGGAAGGCGTTTAGTAGAAAAGAGGAAAATTCAAAATTTTTGTTAATTTTTATTATTAAGCCAAATTTATGCATATAATCGAGATTAGTCAAATGATCTAATAATATAAATTTTGACCAAAATTTAGATTTCACCTTTTCTACTGACCACCTCCCATTTGTTGATAAAGTGAATTGTAACATCTATATATACTTTAATTACAACAGAAGTCTAAAAGTCCAAAGAAAATGATATTTTTTCTGAAGTTTCTGCTATATATAGGAGGTTTGCTAGGAAAATGGGGTTTTGAGACTAAAAAATTTTTTTGAATAAATTAAAAAATTAAAATAAACAAAAAACTAGCTTTAAATTTGAGGTGATCTATTTTTAGGTTATGTAATATGTATTATATGATATAAATTATTAGCTAAATATTTTTTAAGATGTAATTTGTTGATCATTTCCTAAATGATACATTAAACATGTTTATTATTTCCAAAAATCTATTTCTAGATTTACTAAGTAATAACTTTCAATATTATAATTTTTTTTTTTGAAATAAGCTAATGTAATATAAAATTTTAACCAATTAAAGTTTATAAGTTATAGATTAATATGTATCAAAAATTTTCAATTTTTTAAAAAATGTCTCAGAACCCCATTTTCCTAGCAAACTTCCCATATCTTTGGATATGACTAAGGTTGCTAGATGAAATCAAGAGTTTAGACAGAAGTCTATATGGTAAAAGTAAAACTTGGTTAAATTATATTAAAATCTTATTAAAAAATCTGCGAAATTTGGAAAAAGTAAAACTATATCAAAGCTTATAAAAATGGCGAAATTATAAAACACTTAGTAAAAATTTAGCTAAACTAAAAGTTTAACCATTTTGCCAAATCCAAATGAGTTTAGACAAGCAACCTTAGATATGACTTTGAAATTTGACAAACTCCTACATTATATCTCTTTTTATTATATCAGAAGATATAATTGTAAATCCAGATGATTTTTTAACATATTTTGATTCTTTCTTCAGTAATTAAAAATGTGTGATCTTTATGAATAATCCATTCTCGTAAAGATTTTCATAAACTACTTTCTGTAATTAGTTAATAATAAAATTATAATTAATTATTATATATATAATATATTTATTTGCTTTAAAAATAGAATGTTAATATATGATTTACTTACTCCATTATTTGTATTCGAATATTATTAAATTGTGTACTGATTAGTTGGTATACCAAGTAAAGACTTATGCACTTTTTTTATATGAGCTAAAAGATTTGAAGTTGCATTACTATTAACTGAGTAAATTACATTCCTACAAGTATTATATTTTGCAATAATTTTGTTATTTTTTTTTTCTTTCGAGAAAAGTTTCCAAAT